ATTACTGGCCACAAGCATTTGCAGTATTCTGTTCCCCGGAGGAGCTGAGCTGCGGCCAAACAGGGGTGGAAGCCAAGGGGTTTGGTACAACGTACAGGCCAGAGCAGGGTTTCTTAAACATAAGCTTATAGGCACACACCAGAAATTTCCTTCTTGGCAGACGTAAACTCTGAAAAATGTGGCAAGGAGAGCAGGATGTTCAGTCAACCCCTTAATAGCAAACAGCTGTAATAAAGTCCGGGCTTCCTACAAGTCAAAAGGAATTTTGCCACCAAGCTAACTGGAGCCACTGCTTCAGCTCACGTAGCTGGGAAACGTCAGGGTGGAGAGGAACCACGCGATGAATTTCTCCTCCCATTTGAACTTTGTTCCTTCTTCCGTCTCCTTTCTTTCTTCTCCCGTCCCCGTTGCAGTGCTGCACGCCACTGCATCTTTTCATAGCAGCTGGCATTTTACAGCAACAAAAACAATCCTTGTCACATAACTTCGCATCTAGCTGCAAGCGGGAAATTTTCAAAGGCTGCCTTCACTCTGGTTATTGGACTTCAGAGAACAAGCCCAGGAGACGAATGGCCAGCTGAATTTCAGGGTTGCCGGCACTCTTGCCGCTTTTGGTAAGAAGGGAAGCTGAGGCTGAGGTCAGGCTCTTGCGTAAACCTCTGGTTGGTCACTGGAATGGTTGAACCATCCAAAAAACACAGAAGACGCTTTCCCTCCCCACTCATTTTTTTTTTTCATTCCCTCGTTGGTATTGGAGACAAGCATTATAGGAAAACTGCAGTAAGCTATTTTCAGGGCAGCTACATGTTTTTTGACTTGTTGGCACCCAACTAAAATCCTGACCTGCCAAGGGCATTTAGCCCTGTATCTTGGTCCTGTACGAGGTCCAAGTTTCACAGCCATTAGGCAGCAGAGCTGATAAATGCTGTGATCTAGAGGTTGCCTAATGGAATCTTTTGCCCCAGAAGACATTCGGAGTAAAATCCACAGTGATGCTTACAGAAAAATGGTAAGCTTTAAAAGTAACGTGTTGGGCTGAAGGTGGGTACAGACACGGCTGCCAGGCTTCAGCCCGGGGTAACAGGCGGTTGTCCACCCCAGCAGCTGCCCTAAGAGAAGGTACCTTCACTGTGCTGAACACATGAACTTGGCAAGAAAACACACTTGTCCTGGCAAGAAAATCAGGCTGCTGGTGAGGAGCAGGATGAGCTGTGTCCTGTCCCTTGCATCTTCACCTTGAACAGCAGGGAGGAGAACAGGAAGGAGCAATGCCCCTGGGAAGCGGATTTTAGGGGACAGAGGGTCTGTTGAAGGAGAGGGATGAGCTAATCGTGGGATTTCCTTCTCTGCTCCATTAGGATGGAATAAACTTGGTCTCAGATCAGCATCCTTTGGGTGCAGTTCAGTACCACTGGGGAACTGCTGGATTGGGGATGCAAACAAATCTTGTGATCATCTCCCACCTCACATTCATTGACTCTGGAGGGTGCTGTCAAAGCTCCCCAGATGGTGGGAGCTCAGATGAAGATGTAGCTCCCCGTTGTGAACTACTTGTTTGTATTACGTGTTGAGGTGTAAAGCCCACTTGTGAAAAGGGGACAATAACAGAGACTTTCAATAGAAATGTAGAAAGTGTCCTGTCGAGAAGAATCAGGTATGCCTGGCTTACCAGCTCTGAAAAGGCTTTCACCGGCATTAACTCATTAACTCACAAATGTAGGACAGCCAAATTACAGGTTTGTCCTCACAGTAACAAGAACACACTGAGTCAAGTGGGTCACGGGCAAACTTGGACAGCAAAGCCCAGGGGCCTGTCTGTGAATAACACCTACAAAGCCGGGTTTGTATCTCAGGGACGGGACTTGCAAGCTCTTTGGGGGATGCTGTTGCTGAGCGATCAGCAGGACTCTGCCTGCTGGGTGCTGCTGCAGCACCCACAGCCGTGACCTCAAAGACAGCCCTGTGCTGTCTGAACCTCAGCAACTATGACGGAAGTCACCAATAAATAAATCGATTGCCATCTTTCGGTAGGCAGCTGTGGCATGTTTTCTACTCTGCCTTTACAAGTCTTCACTCAGCCATGAGACCTGCTGACTCCACATGCCGAGACAGCGCCCAGATGCAGTGGATTTGTCTTTATTAGAGATGACTTTTAAAAGTTAAGAAGGGGCTTAAACAAGACTGAAGCAAACTATGCGTAGGCCAGATCCTAAATATAGTTGGAATACCACCCCTTAACTGGCTGTTGAGTCTCTCCAAACCAAATTCTTCTTCAAATGCCTTTTTAGTCGTTGGTAGAAATTCAGCTCAAGTATAAACCAAACCAAGTTGTTTTTCAAAATACATTTCTGGAAGAAGTGGATGTGGGCACACAGAAGAAAAACTATCCTTGCAGCTGCATGTTTGAGTCTGACACTTTGAGAACTTGCTGCATAAGACAAAAGGCAGAAACTGAGACTACCCAGCGGCCTCTGCTAGCATCTTCCTTTTTGTGACATGCTTTTAAAACCCGCACGTAACCACCAACTGACAGGAAAACTTCCTGAAAGTTTGTCATTGCCAGTTCTGGTCATTTGCACTAAGTACAGTGAGCCTGCCGAGGGGAAGTAGTGAATGAATTCCTTGTTTTGCTTTTGTTTTCCTTTGTTTGTGCAGCTTTTGCTTTACCTATTAAACTGTCTTTATCTCAACCCATGAGTTTTCTCACTTTTACCCTTCCGATTCTCTCCCCCATCCTACCAGGGGGGAGTGAGTGAGCGGCTGTGTGGGGCTTAGTTGCCGGCAGGGTTAAACCACGACACTGAGTTTTCAAATTGTTCCTGCAATATTGATCCAGATACCGCTTTGGATTACCTGGAAATATTGGGGTGTGTGTCTCTGTGTGTGTGTGTTAGGTTTAAGTCTATTACAGTGAAGTACAAATAGATTTTAGTCTTTATAAACAGTCCCAAATCTCACCCTGTCCCCAGCTGTCAGATAAAACGATAAAGCAAAGATACTTCCCCAAGCAACCTCACTTAAAAGCTTGAAAAACAGCTGCAGTGTATTGATTTTTTTTTTTTTCTGATCTGAAAAATTCAGTTTCTAAATGCTAGACCAGATCATTCTTGGCTGCCTCTCAGGCAGATTCAAGATGCCCCAAACAACTCCAATGGCACTGAAGAAAGCAGAATATAAAGGACAACACACAAAGCAGCACAAAAGCCTTGAATGTTCTATTTAAAGTGACTTTATTAAAACATTGTTAATATAAAATGTGACCAAGTACAATTTTTTTATAAGAATGTTTAATAAAAACATATTAAAGAAAGAAGGAGCATCAACTCTTGTCAAAGCACAGGAAAAACATACCAGGATAAGTAAAAAGTTCTGCAGCATGTTCTACCAGCTGGTCCCAATGTGTATTAGGGTCACGTTAGCCGATGGAAGAGACAGGCAGCCCAGGTTCTTCCCTAAGAAGCTTTAAGGTATTTAGCAGAGGTTTAAAATAACACTCCTCAACAGTAGGAGACTTTGCTTTCAGATCTCCCCATACCAAAGTAAGATTAGAATGCACAACTTCATGTTGGATTTATAACTTTTTGGCAGCTGAATGTACAGAAAATTAGATTCACTGGTAACTGTAGACTCCTGGGTTAACATTTGTCAGCTTTGAAAAGAAGGTGCAAGTCAGTACTAATTATACACCTAAAGAATTTGTGCTAATGTTGTTCTAAGCTATATAAATGCTGGACGCTTGTAGCACATGCTAAAAAAGGTCAGCGAAGGAAAAACCAGCAGTAAAGTCCAGGCTGGTAGAAACAACAAGTATTTTCCAAACTGCTGAATGCAGATGCAATATCCACGAATTACAGGAGTTTGTACATCTCAGGAAGCATGTAAAGAAGCTTTCAGAAGTCTATAAATAAAGCTACACAATGACCTATACTCTGTGGCAATCTTCCCCTTAAGCTAAGAAACCTTTTAAGAAAACACTAGAAAAAATAGGGGTTTGGTGGTTCTTTTTTTTTTTTTGGGGGGGGGGGGCGGGAAGAGGGTAGGTTACAGCTTTTTGCTTGATCAACAAGTAAGTTTTAATGCTCTATCAGCATCCTCTGCTTGTTCAGAGCAAGCAGCATACCAATTAGAGGAAGGATTCTTCCAGGACATCTCAAACTCTTCCTGTAACAGGCAGAAGAAAATCCTGCAGCATCCAATTCTGCACATTTAACTGCCCCTGGCACTGAACCAAATGTCAAATGCTAATCCATGAGAAGCCTAGCACAATTATGGTCTAGGAGACGGTGACCTTCTTATAGCCTTGGCTGGGACCCATTAGACCCATTAGAGCCCTGTGTTTTGCCTTCTACCCCAAACAAATGCTATGGGACTATTGCTGAGGTAAAGGGAAAGGTCAAACCTTTGGCATTGGAGCAGACCAGTCACTGGCTGTGCGTAGGGGGAATTAAGGCTTCAAGGTGAGGTAAACACAGTGAGAGTCAGTGTGTAAATCATGCTGCATTTCAGAGACAACAGATTCAAACGACAGCTAGTTTTGTTCTCTAAATTTTAAACGCCAAACGAAGATCATTCAAAAGCAGAACTGGAGGCAAATCTGCTGAGGGCCACCTTGAGATGCCTCTCTGCGCCTCGGGAACAAATGCAACCCAGACGTTGAATGCTGAAGAGAATATACTCAAAAGGAGGAAAAAGCACCAAAGTTGATGAGTCCTTGAGACGATAAGCTGCTTAAAAAACAAAGAAGCCTTATACTGCTACGACCTCCCATAAACACAGTGGTTTCCTGACACAATGGTAATCTACACTCCAGCACTGTACTTCCAGCACTACTATTATGAAGAGTTATGCTCTGGTAAGGAGGCGGTGAAATCATTAGGCTTGTGTTCCCTGAAGACAGTTTCTCCCATTTATTAGGTTTTGTCCCATTCCCCTCCACCCACCCCCAAGTCTTTAATCCAAAGACCAGAAACACCTGTCACTTCCCCAGCTCATTTTTCTAACACTTATGTTATTTTAGCAGATTTGTAGGGTACAAACACAGTGCTTCTTTGGATCCATCATTTTGGCAACGCCTTTGCCCTCTTAAAAAGAAAAGTGTTTTCAAATAAGTGGTACAAAAGTTACTTTCAAACTAAATGAAATACAGAAATCAATGCAATTCTTCTGTATGCTTATTTTTCATACTGTTTTTGCTAGTTATCTGAAGTATGGAATTATTTGCTTATTTGGAACCACTGCATGTGCAACTCTTTCTTGCAAGCCATGCTAGCAAGGTTTTGATTGAAAACAGCAATCTGGTTCTGTAGGTTCCATTTCTAGGATATGGAGACTCTCATTTGCTTTTCTTTAACATGCGTATGGTAACTTCTCCCATCCTCTCAATACAGTAGCTACTAAAAATTTTTAACAGATATTAAAAAAATATCCAAATGAAACCACACTTCTATCACTGTTTAAAAAACAAAAATGCATATGGTATTACAAAAGTTTATACAAAGGCAACATTTAAGAGTTCGAAAGTTACTTCTAGAAAAAGACACAAATGCTAGTAAATTAACATACAAGGAGAAAGATACTCCACTCCTTCCCCAAAATTGGTTTGATCTATTTTGAAGTATCTTTTACCAGTTGTCTAGAAAATCAAAGCCAGTCTTCAAGATAACATTGCTTGTACTAGTCTGCAAGAAAAAAAAAGAAGTAAGATGTGGCTGTTAATTATGGTACTACAAACTCAGTACTTGACCGCCTATCTACAAAAGAAAGTTTAAAGTGTTGTCTACCAATATTTCAAGTCTTCACCTTGCTCTAGGATACCTAACAACCTACACCAGAAAATGCTAGACATGGAAAAATACTCACAATGACCAAAAAGACAATTTCAGATAAAATCCTTGTAGTGGTCTGCAGGCAAAGTGGTTTTTTTTTCCCCACGGAAAAATTCATAAGGATAAGTTTTTAGACTAGAGTGGGAATTGCAGAGAATGAAACAAACACAGAATATAAGCATCACTAATTCAACGGATTGCCTGTTGCAATGACAGCCAGTTGTTTCCAGAAAACTACTTTGTTGACAAGTTATTTACTAGGCCATCAAGAACATGCTCACTTCTGCAGTGCTGCACTCTTAGCCATGACATTTAAGGTGATTTTAGTGTTCAGGAAGACTATTCAAGGCACACAGCTGAGTCTCTGGTTCTCTTCCTAGAGCATGGCTCTCTTCCCCGGAACAGGGAAGATAATCCAGAAAAGGGGAAATAAAAAAAATTCTATCATACTATCTTTCCTGCTACTCTGTTCACATTTTGACGTGAGAGGATTGTTTCTCCACAGAGAGAAAAATCAGGCTTTTCAAACTATTTCATTTAGCTAGAAAATATTCACAAAGGAATTAAAACTGTAACAAACCATTAATTTGTAGGAAAACATGATAAAGCCTTTAACTAAAACTAAAGGGCTACCGCGGTCACAATTTGTAGCAAAACAGCTCAAGAAGCATTATGTCTTAGCGTCAGAGAAAACTAAACATAGGGCTCCAAATACTGAAGTGGCTTAAGTATTGTTCTCTCCTAAGCGCTGCCACTTACTTCTCTCGCAAGTATTTACCTCATCCTGCATCCTTCTGACCTTACATCATCTTGTTCCAAATTTAAACAATCACTGTTGGGAAAATATGGTAGAGAAAAAGCCATGCGACATGCTTAAAGTGTACAGTAATATGTCAGGCTTATGCCAGAGTGATACTACAAATTCCAAACAGAACTGCAGAGCTCTGTTTGAAGAACCACTCCTCTTCTATACTTCACAGTTTTCAGGCTTCAGATCTCTTCCTTTTCTTTCCCTCACCATGTCATATCCTGTTGTTCCCTTTCTTTTCTCACAGATCAGCATCTGCTTTTTAAATAGCTTCAATTGGCTATTGAGCTGCTTAAGGTTATTTTTTGTTGTTGGGTTGTTTGGTTTTTTTATTTTAAAAAAAAAAAAAAAAAAAACCAAAACATTGTGAAGGCTAATTCTGGAAGCTCATTCCATTTCCATTTTGGACTTTAAGAGAAAACACATTTGAAAGCAGCCCAGCTGCCTGGGACAAAGCACTGCGAAGCGGCTGTTGGGCTACCACTTAAAACAGCTGACAAACTAGTTCGCCATTCACCGCTATGCTGTGTGTACCAATAAAGTATCCTAGACTCTAGTTTTTCTACTTTTCAAATTAAAAAACTTCTTTTTTCCATTAAGTGTTTTCCTTTTTCAAGGGAAAAAAAAAGAAAAATCTTTTACTTGATATAGCAAGCTCTTTACCCCAAACTGTTAGGTAGCTTGCTGTCAGTTAGCCACTGGATGCCATGTCAGCATTTCTGGTATTGTATTTAAATGATGCTTTATCCTATGCACTTTACTACATCAAAAAATACTTGACTGAAACAAACAATAGCAGTTAACATGTTGGTTAAATAGACTTCTTTAAATTTGCAGGATAAAAAGCCAGCAAGCTTAGCTATGGCTTAATGCTTTACGGAGTCCCTAATCTTCCAGAGCAGCCTTGTCAGATTTTAATGTGCTCTACAGTTTTTAAATCTAAGGACACTGGATATAGCAGTCCTTACCTGTCCAGGCATTTGTGGATCTGTAAGTATAGTACCATCAGTATCTTCCTTGTTTGTCCTAGAAGATGCCAGGTCCTGTGGTGGGTCAGGAAGAAAGAAGTCATCTAGAGAACTAGCAGGGAGTTGAGTGGGTCGAGGTTTCTCCCATTCGAGAGATACAGAAGGCAGGCTGGGGGCGACAGACTTCTCTGGTTTAGTTATGCTGGGCTTCTCAGCTTTTGCCATCTCCTTTGGAGTAGACTCTTGTCTGTAAAAAGAGGGAAGGGGTTTCTCTCCTTTCTCCATGGACTTGATCTGGCTCGGGGTCAGAGACTGGAACTCAGACTTGTCTCCTTCAAACTTTGAGCGCTCTGCATTTATCTTCCAGAAAGAGGACTCCTCTTCCTTTCTGGATGCTATCAAGCCATCAGAGCCAGGGGTCTTATTGGCCTGAGAAGGTTTAGGGACTTGGACACCAGGTGCTGCTTTAACAGGCTGCCTCTGTTCATTTTGCAACTGGGCACCACCTTGTTCTTGAATGGACAGAGATGCAACGCTGAACTCCATCTGACTCTGTTCAGGGTTAAAGAAAAACAGTATATCAAAGCCCTTCACAAAGACACAGTTTTGAACTTCTGATCTCGATGCATACAGGTAACACCTTTGCCCACGGCTAGGCAACTCCCAGGCAGCAGATACCACAGTAAAGCTAATTTATTTTCTCCATAAATGTCTATCTTTGTAGCTACATAAAAACAATAATTTTTAAAAGTTTGAACTGCAAGCAAACGTAAGAGTCCTAGACCTGCTGCAGAGGAGTCAGAGAAAGCAATCATATTCGAGTTAGTACCATCCAAGATAGCAGTGCATAGCATGCACAGCACTAAAACATTAGAATAGCGGCACTAAAACATTAGAACAGTTGAAAGCATTTTGAAAGCCATCGATGTTTTACATGAAAATATAAAGCAAAAAAGCTTTACAGTGCTGTTTAAAAGGCAATCTTCCATTATAGTCTTTGAAATAGTTGGCAACATGTTACAACTCCATCTACTTCCAAGATAAAGGACTAGATGTAATGGGTATCCATAGATAGGTGGTTTTTATAATTCTAATGCCCCTCTAAAGGAAGAGAATCAACTCTAGCAGGACCAGTTCTTCACTTATTCCAGAGCCTTGTTTTGTTTTAACTTGCAGTGCAGATAGCTGTACTCATTTCTGAGAGGTAACATTGGATCAAGGAAGCAAGTGACCACAGTTAAAGCATGATACAGATCTTGCAAACGTCACCCAAAAGCCAACAGTACTTCAAAATGTTCATTTTACTTACCACCACTTCAGTAATCTAGATTGTCAACTAGCTGGACACTCTTTAGGCTAATAAAGTTAAGCCTTATTTCACTCTAAGGAACACGTAAGCGTTACTGTATTTAGGAGCACAGCACCATAGCAAGTGCCAGAAAAGAACAACCTAATGCCTAGGCTTTTGTTTGTAAAAATGGAACAAACCATGCAAAAAAAAAAAAAAAAAAAAAATTGTATTTACTGTTAGAGCTATGCTGTTGTCATTATGGGCCTGATTAGTTTTGAAGAAATTCAGAGGACATTTCAAATACTAGCTTTTGCTACAAGTGGTTAATAGATACTTTTGAAGTTCATTACAGATTTGTGATGTTTTCCCCATTCTACTTCATTACCTGGCCTTTCCTGAATAAAACTACAATAGCATCTATGGGCCTGAGACTAAAACAAGTCCTAGTTGCATATCATTTTCACTACAAGTGTTTGATCTTGAGTCCCACATTATTGTGCATGTTAAGTTCAAAGGGACTCTAGATCTAGCAGGTCTCACACACCCAGTATTTAATATTCAGAAACTTCTCATCAAAGTGCAAATCTTAACTCAGCAACTGATTGTTTATAAAACTTTTTTTTTTAAACAGTCAGCAGCTGACTACACATAATTTGATTCATGGACTAACATTTGATGTATCTAAAGAATTAGACAGAATTATAGAAAGCACCAAGTTCCATGTTTTCATTAAGAATATACTGTGTTATCAAAAGATGCAGAACATAAACAAGCTGTAAGTAATTATAGCTCAGCTAGAATAAGGTGAGTGCAAGGATACCTGCAACTCTTACCAAACAGCTCAACACCCACCCCACCTACAAATAACCAAGAAGAAAAACCTTAGCGCTCCAATTTTCTTTTTTTTTAAAAACAAAAGTCATGACATAAAGTTAAGAGCAAGAGATTTTTCCTTAAATAAATTGTGCATAAACAAATTATGGATGCAATGGTGTTGAGGATTATTTACAGTGACTGCCATTCCCTATATTAAAATATAGGGATTTATTTCCCTAAGCTCATTTGGCAATACTACCGAATAGAGTTTTACCACCCTGAAGTTAAGATGCTTTAAGACTTCAGACCTGATAAAATCCTAGTTTAAAAAACCCACAACACAATATAAAATAGACCTGCATTTTCCCAATATCCAAGGAGAAAAAAAAAAATTCCATCTCAGAAGACTTAAGTACCTTGTCACGTAGGAATTAACACAGTGCTACTTTCTATCCTTCAACAGCCTTCCTTCTTCTGAGTAGCCTGTCCCAGGGCTCATGCTAGAGATGACAGTAGCTAAAGGCCACCACAGCAGCAGTCAGTTGCAGTAAAATGATTCCTTCACCTTCCAGCCCAAGAGAGAGGGAAGGTCAGTGCCCAGAGGGCAGAGGGGCCATCACAGCCCCAGATCCACCAGAATAGTGTTGGAAACAAAATCCAGGAAAAACACTGATGGAAGGGAAGCAGGGGTCTGTTAGAACAAAAATTAGAAAAAGGAAAACCAACAAAAAGGCTTTGCCTTTCAACAGCAGCAAGATAGACAGACAAGCAAAGCCAGGCCTCCTGGGAAGTTCTTATGCTGTGGAGCAAAAGCCACTGCTTGTGGTCATGTTTTATGTTCTTTTTTATGGGTCAAAATATCAACTCAGAGGTCTGGTTTGGAAGCGGCAGACCACTTCTAGTGTAGAGAAGAGCATGGCACTGCAGCACAACTTCAGGGAGTTGCACCCTTTCCAACCCACTTGTGGATGCATGTTCTGGAGAGGATGCCTTTTTGTCCTTTTAGAATGGACACTGTGGGGTGTACCTTTCCATTTCAGAAGACAGGACCATCCGGCATTTAAGATTGTATATTTATGTCACGGAATGCTTTTGAAATTGTCCTGGTTTCAGCTGGGATAGAGTTAAATTTCTTCCTCGTGCTGCGTTTTGGATTTAGTATGAGAAGAATGTTGATAACGCACTGATGTTTTCAGTTGTTGCGAAGTACACCTTGTCAAGGACAACTATCCTTTGCTAGACTGGGAGGGAGCACAGCCAGCCCAGCTGGCCAACAGGGTATTCCATACTATGTGACATCATGCTCAGTATATGAATGGTAGGTGTATTCCAGGAACTAGCAATCGTTACTTGGTTATTGGTCAGTGCGGGTGGTGAGCAATTGCATTGTGCATCACTCATTTTGTATATTCTATTATTATTATTTTCTCTTTTCTGTTCTATTAAACTATCTTCATCTCAACCCACGAGTTTTTCTCACTCTCACCCTTCCAATTCTCTCCCTGCCCCACCGGGGCGGGGGGAGTGAGCGAGCGGCTGGATGGGATTTGGCTGCCTGCCAGGGTAAACTACAACAGTACCTTTCCATTTCAGAAGACAGGACCATCCGGCATTTAAGATTGTATATTTATGTCACGGAATGCTTTTGAAATTGTCCTGGTTTCAGCTGGGATAGAGTTAAATTTCTTCCTCGTGCTGCGTTTTGGATTTAGTATGAGAAGAATGTTGATAACGCACTGATGTTTTCAGTTGTTGCGAAGTACACCTTGTCAAGGACAACTATCCTTTGCTAGACTGGGAGGGAGCACAGCCAGCCCAGCTGGCCAACAGGGTATTCCATACCATGTGACATCATGCTCAGTATATGAATGGTAGGTGTATTCCAGGAACTAGCAATCGTTACTTGGTTATTGGTCAGTGCGGGTGGTGAGCAATTGCATTGTGCATCACTCATTTTGTATATTCTATTATTATTATTTTCTCTTTTCTGTTCTATTAAACTATCTTCATCTCAACCCACGAGTTTTTCTCACTCTCACCCTTCCAATTCTCTCCCTGCCCCACCGGGGCGGGGGGAGTGAGCGAGCGGCTGCATGGTATTTGGCTGCCTGCCAGGTTAAACTACAACAGAAATCAAACAGTTCATAACCTGACACAGAATAATCTGAATGGAAATACTTCTTCAGGAGTTTGCTTTCTCCCCCAAGGAAGGTGAAGAAGACAAGACTACCCCAACAGGTTCTGAAAGCACTGCGTCTCAGTATGATGTAAATACAGCCCCGAGAGGTCAGATGTATAATTCTGTTTCTAGCATTTAGCTCGAGAAGCCAAGAACTTCTGTGGACCAGTCACAAGTTTTTCTATTTTCCTTGAAATATATAATGCTTCTATTTGACTTTCAAGGTTACTTACATTACCTAAGAAATGTAGCTGATGAAAGAAAATTATTAATATGCAGTATCTTTCAAGTCACAAAATTGGCAATAAAATACTATAAACACCCTCCCCCCCCAAAAAAAACCAACCAACCAAAAAATAACAGAGCAGCAGTCTAAGTAGGGAGATAATTTCACATAGAGATGGAGAAGACCCATGTGTGAAACACCCCATGCTGACATCTAAGTCATGAGCAGTACTGTACGTTCTAGTGAGTCACTAGACACTAAAAATGTGAGTTTAATTAGTGTTCTGCTCTCAATTTCTTACATCAGATTGCAAATTGGCAATTGATTGGGTCAGCAGGAGAGGGAAGGAAACAATATTTAAAAGACAGCTACCCCCAAAAAAACCATTTCCTTTTCTTTTAGGTTTGCCAGCCATGAGAATATCTTGATGCACATCTCTCCTGGCCCCAATCAAACTTACGGCAGCAGCTAGTCCGTAAAGGGCCGCACCGCGTGTTCGCTCTCCTCGGGCCGAGGCAGAGCTGCCGTGAGCTGCAGTTGCGCACTTGAGCATTTAAGCAGCAGAACTGCACTTGTGGCACTCTACCAGCTGCCACCTCGGGGAAGCAAACACTGAATGCTGCGGCAAGATCTGATGGTCAAAGTGAATTGTCATGTAGGCACAGTTTGGGATCCTAGAGATAGGGTTTCAGTCCCCAGCTGCTTTCATAGATTTTGTATGACTTTGAATGAGCTGCGGTTTCTGTACTTTAATTCCCCATCTAAGGAATAAAATAAAAATACTTTCTTTCTCCTACCATTTGTCCAAATTATACTTCTGGGAACTGTTCAGCCCAGGAAGTCTTGAGAGTTTACAGACAGGCTAGTACAGTCCCAGCTGCAATTTTTAGAAGTTATCAGAATTCAAATAAAAGCTACTGTCAGCAGTAGTATTTTCAAGATATTGCAAGAGCAAGTCATTCTCAACACATTAGTAGAGAGAGGGAGAGAGAGTGCATGTGAAAGCATGCACAAAGTAGTATTTTGAAGCAGAGCAAACC